AGGTAGTCTCCTTTTCCTTGGCAATGCATGCAGATCTTGTTGAGAGAAGCTGAAATGATGAGATTAGCCTTAACCAATTGAACGTTTTTCTTTCTTGGAGTAAATGTTTACAGCTGTTTCTTTCTTAGTGGTCAGTGTTTCATATATAAAGTCACTGGGGAGACTGTGTTTAAATATTTAAAAGTGGGGTATGATTCAGGGGAAGGTGGGATCAGGTCTGGCTGGATGGATGTGGCAGCCTGTGTGAGTGGTTATGAATGGGCAGATGTGTGCGTGATGAGGCAGATGGTGAGTCAGAACTGAGCCTCTTCTGAAAGAATGCGTTTTGCTCCAGTGTGCTGGGAAAATGAAAACAGAAGGGAGGGGACTGCACCACTTCAGTGGGACTGGTGTGTGCTGCGGGGGTGAGGTCGCGCTGGTGGCGCTGGCTGTTGGGAGCCTGCTGATTCATTAGTCGGTGGGTGGTGAGAACTGTGTGCAGGCTCTGGCGGAGGAAATGGCTTGGCTGCTGCAGGGAGAACGAGCATTTTCTCTAACTGCAGGATGTGTGGATGGAGCATACAGATAGCATATCTACAGCACATCAGTTAAATACCCTGGTGTTGTGCGATAAGGATTTACTAGAGGACTAAAATAGGATGTGAAACCGAGGTTTTTTGTCTTGTGCTGAAATACAGCAGCTTTTGAAAAAGTCATTGAGAATTGTCCTCTATTTAAATCGTTTCGTTTTTTTAAATATGAATGAATGGTGTTACGGGAGCCGTGTCCCTGCCTGTTTTTAACAACAATAACTCCCACTTAGCTGGAATTGGAGGAGAGGGTTGCTCATTTGAATGTAGATGAAAAGAAATAACAGATTAGCTGAAAGAGTACAAAAGGGAAGGTGAGATACACTATGTGTGGAAGGTGTGGCACAGAGGTCTTTGAGAACAAGCCAAGTGCTAGGCTGAGAACCTACAAACACAGCTCAACAACTTAGAGCCCAGCTAAGCCTATTCATGCAGCACCTTCTCAAGTTTGTGTGTTTATGGTGCTGTTTGTCCTCTGTCCAGATAATCTGCCAGCAGATAAGAGTGTTTACTCTTGCTGCTTGTTCAGTCAGCAAGCAGAATATTTGTTCTAACGCTAAAAACCTGTTTCCAATGTAAAAGTAACGTCTGCTTTTCTCATGTAAAGATTCTAATGCTACTTTGATTTGTAGTAGGAGTTTGAAATGGAAGATGCCATTTGAGATTAAATTAATTGTATAATAGCCCCCTGAACAAAAATTCAACTGCTACAAACTAGTAAAAGTTGTGTATTTCAGTATGTGACAATTTACCTAGGCCTCACAATCTAACAACTAGCTTTGGCTGTGCCAGTGTGTGGAAAATGGGGGTGCAAAATGAGGGAGGACTTTAATCCTTCAACATGTGTGTAAGAATGCTTAACTTAGTTACGTAACCATCCACTGTCAGTGTCAGAAAACCAACCCATACCTCATTTGGTTTATAGAGTGGACTGTACTCTGAAAGGAGGCAACTGTATGATTTAACTTTCCCTCTTCTGTGTCACTATACTGGTGGGTTTTTTATGTAGCATTAAATTTGTCCACTGAATGTTAATTTGCTAATGGCCTGACTTCCAACCTCTCATTCCCTCCTTCTGCTCTTTGGTGCTTTTTCACCTGTCTCTGGCCTTTTACAGGACTGACTTCCAGGTATTATTAGGAAAAGCACCCAGAGGTGTGTGGAGGATTTATAAAATTCTATAAAAGCAGTTAATTTGGGGTTAGCAACAAAACCTTGAAAGAGTTATTCTAGCAAAACCACCCTTTTATCTACTTGTAATCAAATTGTATAGCTCAGTAATGGTGTGGGGGAGGAAGGGGGGAAGTTGGGGTCTTTATAGAAATAACGTGGCTTTTGCTTTTGCTCTCCAGCTGTGGCTGTCTTGAGGCAACTTTCAGAGCAGGAGATTCTGAAAATTTTTAAAAGACCACTTTTCTGGCTTTTCAGGTGCCTTAACAGATCCTGTGCCACAGACAAGAGCAGTAATTTATTAATAATTCTGTTAAGTTCAGAAGCTGAAAGGGAACCAGCATGAGTTTATCTGAAAAGAAGGAAATACGTGGTTAAACGGTTCTGGCTGTAGTCTTAGGTGGTTTCCATTTTCCAGAAAAAGAATAGGGGGGGAAAGAAGTCTAAATTCCTTTCTCTAAAATAAATTAAAAAGTACTAGTTTGCTTTATTGTGTTTTAATAAGAGAAAAGTTTCTGCATCATCTCATGGGGTTTCAATACAAATTATACTGAATTTGAATGGTTATATGGTAATTTCAAAACTTGTGTATCTGGTTAAGGAATTCATCCCTTCAGAAATGAGTAATGTGTATTTTGGAGTTTTGAAGACCACCTGAATCCAGTGGTGTAAGGCTGTCAGGACTCTGATTCAGGAGCAAGGGCAGAGTGCTTTATCTGGAAAGGTCAGGCTGCATGCCAGTGGTTCACAGGCTTCTGTGTCAGCAGCTCAGCTGTTGGTCAGTGTGCATAGGGCAGATAGTAGGCATCAGGAATCACATCAGCTCTGTCGACTTGTTTCCCCTTTGACTTCTGAAGACTTTCACAGAATTTCCAGCACTGAAGGCTTACAGGTGATGTGTGAGGCATTGCATTTAAAGTATTGAGCCCTCAGCAGCTGTGTGTGAGCTACCTGCTCTTTGCACTGAGCCAGGAAGTTTGCACGTAATGCACTGGCAGCTGCAGTGACCAAGGCAATTGAACAGCCACTGAAACAAGGCAGCATAAAATTCCTTGTCAAAGATAGAAAGTACTCCTGGACAACTTGGAAAACTAGATTTTGTCATCTGTGTGAAGTCGTATGTAACTTTTCTTGTCCCAGGCTGCTGTTGTGAGCCAGGAGGATAGGGAGCCTAGGTGATACGTAAACCCTGAATAAAGGTCAGCAAAGTGCTTGTTTGCTCCTGCAAAACATAGCTAGCATTAGAGTACAGGCTGTTCTGTCTTTACAGACCCATAGTTAGCTTATGCTGCTGCTTTTTCCTCTCTTGAATTGTTCTTTATTCTCCTTAGAAGAGAATGACACTTGGTTCTAAGAGCCTCTTTTAACTGTCTTTCACTTCTAAACTAATTAAGTGCATCTGTTAAATTGTGATGCATACTTTGTTTCTTGTGAGATGAATGGGTGAAGCTGTGCTTGAAAGGGTGCAATGTTGTATTCGGTATGCGTGAAAGGTTTAATCTTGCAATGAGGGCTGTGGGAGGTGGTTTCCTGGTAGTCCAGATCTTACTCATGCTGGTTCTGACACCTCTGCTCTCAGAGGCTGTTGGCCAGTAGCTCTGTGCCCTGCATGGTGTGCTGTCATCACGGAAGGCTGAGGTGTGATGACTCTACAGCTACTCTGAGTGCAGGCACAGCAAACCAGTCTGTGCTCTTAGCTGAGTCCCTGCAGTAGGAGCACTGATGGGAAGAAGACACACTTGAACTAACCTTTATTTCTTCGTTACTGAGCTGCTGCATATTGTAGTAATTAACATGCCTGGAGCATGTCACTTCGTACTGAAGTGTGATAAGTTGTAAAAATGAAGCTCGGAGATTAAATGTGTATTTTCTTTGGCAAATAGCATTACTTGTTTGTCAGCTGGATCCATGTTATTTGTTCCCTTTCTCCTACTCGTGGGTTGCCTTTCACGTTGTTCAGTGCTTAATTCTGCTGGGACAGCCTTTGCATAAGGGAGGTTTTACCTTCCTCTGTGCCTCCTGCTTCTCTAGGCTTTTTCTTTTTCTGCTTGAGTGACCTTAGCTGGTAAGTGTGGAACTGAGCAAGTAGGCACAGTTGGGGTGCTTTGAAACGCGTTACAGCGCTAAACATCAATTACACTTTGATGAGGATTTGCCAGAGGATTAATTTAGAAGCGTAAGAGGAGGCACTGTGAAAATTCCCCTACCTAGCTGAGCCGTTCCTGAAGGCTGAAAAAACTCGACCGGATTTGGAATGCCTAGGCAGTCTTTCAGTCTGAAGTGGGTGCATGGTTTGCCTCTCTGGTGTTTCAACATAGACAAACTCCTGTTCCGTGAGGGGTTTTCACTTGGCAAGTAGGCTGAAATAACCACTGAAAGTTGATTTATTTATTTATTTATTTACTTTTTTTTCCTGTACAGTTCAGGTAATTTTGCTGTGATTTTTTTTTTTGTTTGTTTAAGACTGATGCCATTAAATATAACATGTCAAACTCATTTAGTGTTGTATTTGCTTCTTTATAAGTTCCCCGTCTCATCACTGTGTCGTCTACCATTATCTAAGTGTAGGGCCTTAAGCTCATGCATTATTCCTCACTGCAGCTCAAGGCACTGTGCAAATTGGTGCTGTAGTTGGGTTTTGATCATCTGGTGTTGCTTCATTTGAAAAGCCTTTCACACATGCTAGAATTGACACAGGAAGATTCTCTTATTTTTAGCGTGGTGCCTATATATATAGTGTATTTTACTAAACTCTTGACTAGTTTGTAAATTTGAGGAGGATTGAAACTAGTGCTTGCTCTTTGTTGGAAGAGCTTGTGTTGGGGCAAAATGCAGTGCTGCTTGGGAACAGGAAAGTGGGTGCTCATTTAACCATTAAAATGTGCTACAGAGGATCCTCCCTGTCTGGCAGGATGCCACTTCTTTGTGACACGAAGGTAAGCTGACAAGAAAAGAAGTTAGTTTAACTGAAAGCAGCAAGAATCCTAACCAAATCCTGGTGCATGCCAGTTTATAAAATGAGAACACGGCTTAAATTTATTCCATCCAGTACAGTAGGCAAAAGTTGAAGCACTCCCTTGATTAAAATTGAGTTCTTGGAAAGGAGGCAGGAGAAGCTGTTAAATGGATTCTCATGTTACCAGCTGGTTTGGATGTTCTTCTAAGAATACATATAGAAGCTTCCTGGATCAGTATTTTCATTGTGCAGGCATGTGTGTGAGTGCTTTCAAATTCATAGCATGTGTTTTGCTTTGATTTCAGGTGTACTTGAAGGCACCTATGATTCTCAATGGTGTCTGTGTAATCTGGAAAGGCTGGATAGACCTACAGAGACTGGATGGTATGGGCTGCCTGGAATTTGATGAGGAGAGAGCACAGGTAAGACAGTCTGCCCGTGGCTACTGTGCCTTAGACATTTGTTTGTTCTTCTGGAGGGAAACACACAATCAGGTAGCGATCACACATTCTGATTTGATTTTTTTCCTGCCTTCACTTTGAGTACAAACTCCAAAGAAAACTTACAGGACCAAAGTTCAGAAATATGTGGTTGTAGCTAAAGACTTGTTTAGCTACATTAGGTCAAAATATTAGGGGCAGGAATCATTTGTAATTTACAAGTCTGTGTGATTTTGCTCTGTTACTATGGTACAGACTAATAAATAAAAGTATTTGAAAGACTATGCTTGTTACTTGTAACAATTTAACTGGCAAGTCTGTTCTGGCTGTTTATTTTGTTGAGGGTTTTTTAAGTAGCTTTTTGTTTTATTACACGTAGGGTAGAATGAATAGGGTTTTTCATTTGTGCTCTAACACTGGTGAACTCTGTTAAGGTATGGCAGCTTTTGAAAACTCCCCTCCTATCTCCCTACTTCATACCAGGAAAATGTCTGTCTAGCAGCTGTATCTTTGGATGTGTACAAGAACAAAGTCAACACAGAGGAAGTGCCTTTTAGAGTGCATATCACATAGATGAAGTTCACTTACACAGCTGTAAGGTTCTTTAATTTAGTCAGGCTTGAGACATCTTTGCTTTTTAAATGTAGTTTAGTAACAAAGCTGCTGCTGCACCAGGATTGTGTGGGCTTCCATGCAGATCACCTGTTTCTGTAGTGGATAGTAAATTGGATGTAGTGGATCAGTTACCAGAGTTAGGACTTACAATCTGTATTTTATGGCTAACTCAGCAGTTCATTTCTCTAGTTTAGAAATGTTAGAACTATGTGAAGGCATGGTCCACAGTGCTCCTGGATACAAGAGTTTAAGCGTGGAGAGAAAAGAAGCATGAACAATTTCCTGTAAACTTTTTTTCTCCTCCACAAGTTCTGTATTGGTACTCCAGCAAAAGATTCTTAGTAACTTGCTCTGTATCTCTATGTAACCATTTTTTCCTAACGTTTCTTTTACGACTGCTGCTTCCACCCAACACCATCATACCAGGACTTGACTTTTCTGGAAACTTGAGTAATTCACTTTGAACCACTATTTAGTGTCTCCTAAATGGTAACTGCCTTTTTTTTTTCCCCAATCTTGATAGCATAAAAACATTGGAGAATTCCTTATTTCCTTCCTTCTGTTCCCTTAAACTCAGGCACACAAAGCAACTCACTCATGTGCATAATTGGCTAGTTTGTGTGACAGTGGTGATTCCCTTTGTCTTTCCTTGTAATACCCCAAGTATGTCATACTTATGGGTGATTTTTTGGAAAACCTTAATATTGACACAAACCTTTCCCTTTGTGCCCTGTGAGGTGTTGCTTCTGGCAGTTGTGCACCGCAACTGATTTAAATAAGGATGTAGTGTGCCCCATTCTCAGCCCTCACTTCCTTGGGGTTTTCCTTTGAGTTCTTATACAGCCGCAGTTGGTCACTGCATTACAAGTAGGAACCCATTGTTTCCACCAAAATACCAAGAAGATTGTTCTGTTGTGGTGCCTTGCCTCTCCCTAACTTAAGAAACCAATTTGCACCTTAATGAGATGATGTTACTGTGAATACTTTGTGCCAAAAGAGTGTCTTTGAAGTAGTCACAGCCCTGCATGCTTTCTTCATGGTGCCTAGAAAGAGGGAATAGCCTTGCCACCTTTTGTCAGTCCACAAGAAAAGCCACACGCCCAAGCTTTTCCTCGAAATCCACTATTTGCTGTGCGTTCACTTACTTCTTGCAAAGCTGTGTGTCAGTGTTTTGAGCTAGCTCAGATCCAGTTGCAGCAGTCACTGCTGTGGACTCCATGGTTTGGAAATCCTTTAGGCTGTAATGGTTTGTGTGGCCAAGGCAAGTGTAGACACCTGGCGACTGTGCAAAATAAATCTCAAGGTTCTTGCTCCATAGCTATTAAGTCACAAGACTTCTAAACTGAGAGGAGACTGACAGGAACATGCACTCAGAAGGAGACAGTGTCACGGCCTTCCAGAATTGGAGAGTTCCTGAAAAAAGCAGGCACCCTTCCAAAAAGTGGAGTGGTCAGGTGACCTGTGGGTTCAGTTTTTCTCTTTAATTTCCCAATAAATGTTTTTGCAAGCACTTGGATTATGTTGGTTTCCTCATGTGTATATGCTGTCTTAACAACACTTAAGTTTCCTTTTTGTTGTCTTCAGAAAGTGTTTGTGCACTGAAAATGTGATTTATTCTCTTTTGTTTGTGAGGGATGTATGCATGCACTCGGGTGTCAGTGCTTTCTCAAGCTGTGAGTACAGCACTTAGCACTGTGTGGATCTGCAGATATATGTTTGCACTAAATTACAGGTGTATAATTTGTTTTCAGTTTGTGCTTCTTGGCAGTTATGAGGTCATCATTGGTCATCTCATTTCCTGCAGTAGCACTACCTAAGGGTTTCCAGTGTTGTAAGGAGCCACACAGACAGAAGTAGCTGCACCCTTGTGTGTGTTAATATTGTAAACATTCAGGCAATCTTGACATCCTTCAGTTTCCTTTTTCCTGTGTCTGTCACTCTGCTTCCTTTTTAAAAACTGTTGTAAGATTGCTAGTGGCAGTTGACATAACTGTTGACTTTGATCCCAAAATATCACTGATGTCAGAGTGGACTTAAGTGCCTCATACTGTGCATTGTGGTGCCTGTGGTACCCACTGGCCTTTGCAGTAAGAGGTTCTTTTGGTGTTCACATGCACCCCCATTTGCTGGCAGGATTGCCTTATACAAATGTAGTGCACTTCTGTTTTGCTGTCTCTTACTGCTTCTTACTAACTAATTGTAGGATCAGATAAAATTTTTATTTGCCGTCACACTTTGGAAATTATACTATCCTTCACCAAGTCAACAAATATTCTAGGAAGGAAATCCACATGCATGACACTGAAGTACTTCAGTTGTAACTATTAAGCTGGTGTTTTTTCTACTTAATCCGCAGCCTATTCATGTCTTGCTGCTAAGCAGTCTTACTTGTGTTACTGAAGGCCCTGATTCCACTGCTTGTTCAGACTGATGGAGTAACACAGACAAAGCTGCATATACATGCTTGAATATCTTCCCTGTTTGGGGCAGAAATTTCCCTGGATTTGATATTTGAGGGTCTTTAAGAGAGACTGTTTCTGCCCTCAGTGCTTTTGCATCTCTTCTGTGGTATCTTGCTATCTCACCAGATCTTTTCCTACCAGGCTGCTGGGGGAGGGTTATGTGTGTAAGCTTCTCTGTTGTTTTATATTTTCTGCATTGGGAGGTTTGTTTTTGTTCTGTTATCATGTTGATATACCTCATGTTTTGCTTATTCTTCTCTTTCTTAGCAGATTCAGAACCAGGAGCATTTTTATGGAATAAAAAATAAGTTGTCTAAATGATTTGGTCTCATACAGCTGAATTTGCTAGGCTATGATTACTAGAATTGAATG